TATATATATATATATGCCCTTTGTGGAGCTTGACAGCTGTGGTAGTCTTCTACACTCATGTATAAGACTCATGTATAAGAAAGAGATGATTTCTCTTTTTGTGTTCCTACACTCATGTATAAGACTCATGTATAAGAAAGAGATGATTTCTCTTTTTGTGTTCCACATAAAAAATAAATTAACATGTTTTTAGAACAACACGATGGTGAGTAAATAAATGTAAATAAATTTTTTTGTGTGAACTATCCCTTTAATTGCACAGTACACCTGAGGAGGGCGGGGCTTACCTGTAGACAGGCCACGCCTATTCCCACAGCACCAATAATGAGCAAGTGATCTGCCAGAAACTGCTCCAGTTTAGTGATACAGCCGCCCTGTGAGAGACCACAGCACTGTTAACTCAGTTAACAGTTACAGTTTACTGTATGTAAACTGATTTATTTTGCAGACTGATGAAGAGTTACTGATTTTTTTATTGTGTGATTTACTAGACAGTATCGTGGATACTGCCACAACATACCACATATAGAGTCAAACTAATGGCCCACTAGAGGCCAGTAAAACCAGTGTCGTATTGTATTATGTATCACACCGGAGGTCAGTTCCCAAAGAATATATACAGAGAGCTTGGCAGGCGTTAACTGTAGTGTTACCTCACACTTTACAAGCCCATATATGTTACCAGTCACACCTGCTTTGCTCACAGCTGTGCTTTCTTAGTCTAAATGACTCCCAAGTGGCGTATCAAACACTTCATGATGATATGGTTCACAGGCGTATTGTAGTTCCCACAGACAATGAGGAAGCATCTAAGCATGCATTTTGTAAAGCAAGTTAAGTACAGATGAATAAACACGTTGCGTAAATGTTGTGTGGGGGTTGATTTGAGGTTAACAGTGTCTGACCCACCTCCACCTTGTAGATGTTCGAGGGGTGGTCTCTCTTTCCACACTGAGGGGTGATGGTCTTACAGCAGCTGTCAGGGACCAGCCGCTTCTCCGCTTCCGGGGACATGATGTACACACTGTGCATCCAGTCAAAGGAGTTGTTGCTCCCACAGCACTTGAACTGTAAGGTGAAGATAAGGTTGTTATTGTTAGTTAGGATCAATTAGGATCAGTGTGCAAAGTGGTCTGGTATTTTAAAGGTATGGAGTAACTGTATTCCTGCGCTTTGTTCACAGCAAGGATTTTACATGACATTTAGAGGCAGTAGATTGTTGAGTGCATCTAGTTTAAATTAAATTAAAGTGCTGGTAGTCCGAAATAATAAAATAAAATAAAAATAAAAAAGAATACATTTATATTACATAAAAAAACAAGCAAAATAAAAAATATAGCATTTTATTTTAAAATAAAACAAATAAATGAAGATAAAATAAACATTGAATAAATAAATAAATAAAAACAAAATAAAAATATTAAATATAAAAATATAAAAAAATAAAGCATGAAATAAAACAAAAGCAAAAAAATAAAAATAAAAAACAAAATAAATAAAATAAAATAAAGCTACTGAATTTCCCACTTCTAGCTGTGTTTTGAATAATTTATGTTCCATTACCATCACAAAAAAAAAAAAAAAAAAACTGTAATACAATTTAAAAATAATTTGCCTTACCCACATACTCTTGTTTTCGTCTCTAATCTAATTATATAAAATGTTCAATATACTCATTCTGAAATTTGTGTTCACAGCAAAAACCAGAGGTGAAAAGGCCTAGAAACATGCTGGGATTTGGCATTTCTCACATCCTGCTGTAGTCTGTCCACAGACTGAGTGATGCTCTCTTTTCCAGGCTGGGCATAGTTCTCAGTCATCGTCTTGCTCAAGTGCTGCTTCAGCTCTTCACTCAGCTGTGAGAGACCGAGAGAAGAGAAAGACAGAGAGAAATGAACAAAAAGATAGAGAGTGAGCAGTATGCAGTGTCATCTGTCAAATGTCTCATCTCACCAGTCGGGTATAGCCATACAACTAGATCCATCATAAAAGCAATTTGGGGGTTGGCTTAGAGCTTTGTTTTGTAATTCAATAATGTCTAAAATTGTGTCCAAGTTCACTCACCGCCTGGTAATAAACGTAGGCCAGGACACCAGCCACCAGCTCAATTAGGAAGATCAGAAGCAGACAGGAGAAGTACTGCATGAAGACAGGAACCAATGAACAATACAAATACAATTAATGCACAGAAATCATACAACATCCTTTTCAGAAAACAGGAAATCCACTCATTGCCACTCTAGATATACTATACAAATTGTAAAATACTGATGGCATAAATATCCATGGGAAATACACATGAAATCAGAATTCCTATTATAGTTATTATAGAAAGTCCAAGGAATGCCAAGGGGATGTTCTATAAAACTAAAATTGATTTAATGGGAAACAAATATATAAAAATGAACTGAATGGATGAATGGATGAATGAATGAATGAATGAATATGTAACTTAAGCCAACATTTAATTTAACTTGAATTTAACTGGCTTCATTAAACGAAAAGCTAAAAGGTCGCCTAAAAACAATAAAGTAACTATGGATCTTTTGTTCAGAAAATGTTCAATTATTTAGTTTAATTTGCCTTTGTCAAGAACAATTTTAAATGGCTTCCCTCTAAAAGAAACAATATCTTACAACAGGCTTGTTTAAATCACACATCAACAATCAACATTCAAAATGCTTCAAAATGTAACCATATTTTCCCTGTCGAGGGGATAAAGTAAATAAAACTGGTTTCTAAGAAATTTCTTGCTCAGAGCTAGCAGAGGTGGAGATGCCTGACAGATGAAAATAAAAGGCACAGTGACATTTTCCTCAGAGGAAAATAAAGCAATAAATGACTAAACTGAATAAGCCGTCACAGTTTATTGTGGGGGGAGAGAGAGTGGGTGATAACAAGTTCAACCCCAAATCTGCCTTTGAAAATTTTTTCAATATTATACATAACTCAAACTCACCATGGCTTTCTGTGAACACACTTATTTCTATTTTAATTGCAATGCGAGTACTGAAGTTGAACTGAAAAGTCAGTTTCCATCACTAATCTATGGAGGACCAGTAGTGCACAACACAACAAAATAAACACCACGTTGCACAACACAACAAAATCTCCACAACACAATGGAAACAAGCCGCAACATAACAAAATTAGCACAACACAACGAAATTAGTCCTATGCACTGTTGTGACAATTTCATTGTGTTGTACAGAATTTGTTGTGTTGTGCACTACTGGGTCATCACACTAATCAGCAGAATTAAATATAAGCAAAGAACAGAAATATGCAATTACGCACAGAGACTGTAGACCGAACCACAGACCCAAGAGATTCCACAAAACAGGAAACAAACTGTTTGTCAAAGTGGATGTGTGTGAGAAAAGAATAAATTAGGGCAAACAAACACAAATACACTGTACACACACATTCATATATTTGGCAATTCTCTTCTAGAGGTCGAAAGAAAGGACAGGAAGTCTGATGTAATTTATATAAACACCAACACGAGCACTGTAGCAAATTAAATGAACCGATTCAAGGTTATTCAAACAAAACAGCACACTGAACAGCTGTTAACCTCACGGCAGCTGTCGCGTGTGGACGTTTCCCTATGCATTTATATGTTTTTCCCATAATGCAGTGCACTCAGATCAGACCAGCAAAGGCAGTATCCTCATTACTAATTCCTAGCGAGGTGGCGCTCCTCCGTAGATTCATACATCTGAGTGAGAGTGGGCTATAAATAGCACTGCTGCAGTGGCAGTCACAACCTTGCTTGTCTCGTTCTCTCTTTCGAACAAACACAAGGTACTATCTTTTTTTAAAAATGGCGAGAAAGCAGATGCCGGTCAGCTCATTTGTCACGGCTGCCATGGAGCCGGTTCTGCTTTGTCTATGGACACCCACCTCGACTTACAGGCGACAATAACTGAGATGACCAAAAAGAGGCCGGGATCTAGAGCAATTATATCTAATGAGTGGAGCATAATGGATAAATTGGCACAACATGATGTCCTCTCATTCATCTCTATTCTCTCACCGTGGACAGACAGCTCCTCTGCTCACGTATGACAGCACAGCAGCCCAAGAACCCGGTGACCATCACCAGCCCTCCTGCCAGAATCAGGATGTAAGCGGACACAGCGAATGTACTAGAGGCCAGCAGGCTCAGGTACTCTCCTTTATCGACCAGCGTCCAGATCCCGACACCCATCACCACCCCGCCGCCCATCTGGAAGAGAAAAATGCATCAAGATATCAGAACGTCTGCTCTAATACACATATTGCAAGTTTAAAGGGGTAAAATAAAATGAAATCAAACTCAAAATGTCCTTAGTCCAAAAATACCATTTATCATGAGTAAGCCACAAAAATGGCTTGTTCTGAACATCCAGACTTTTATGATGAATATGAATACACATGACAGCACACATTTTGAACCTTTCACATTTTGAAACTTTGAAGCATTTTAACTGCATTAAAAAACAACCAGTGCATTATTCAGAACTTCTCTGTTTGTGTTCCATAAAAGAAAGTCAGTCATACAAGTTTGGAATGACATGAGAGTGAGGAAATTATGACAGAATTTCATTGTGGGTGGACTATCCCTTTAAATGAGTGGATATATGCACAGAGTTGTGCATTCTGGTTGAAGGTGTGGTTCTGAATCATTTCCTGGACTTCTCTTGTTTGGTCCAGGATTTATAGAATAAATCCATCTGTCTGAAACTGCAGTAGAGATGTTACTACAAAGATGAATTTAATTAAATAATACTTCATACTGAGAAATGCTTTTTCTCAGACAGTAGGTTTGTCTTTCTCCACTCAGAAACAAATTCAACTCTAGAGGGCAGTGTACTTGAGTCAATGCACAGGTGGGTGGGAAGAGGAAGTATGAGGGGGAGGAGAACAAGAGCGAGAAGATGATGGGACAAGACTCAGACTTAAGTTATGATATGAACGTCACACTCTTTCATTCACATACACACTTTTTCTTCCATCCCCTTGACATTTGTCTCTCACTGCATCTGATATTTCATAAGAATGCTGCCTACAACAGAATATGGAAATAAAACATCGTTTATGCATGACAAAGTGAAACAACAGCCTAAAATCAAGATTATAACTTTGAACCGTTGCTTCAAAATACAATCCATAATCCTTAATATTGCTTCTTCCAGTGACAAAAATCAATTCCCTGTTGTCCTCCCACATCAAAATCCAACTAAATATTCATTTAGAACTGTTTTGGACTGTTTTCGCTTGTAAACGGTGCTTGAACTGTACATATTTCTCTCTTGATTCAGACAAAACGTTTTTACTGGAGAAAGCAATATTATGGATAGAGTATTGCTGTTTGAAGTTAAAATACTTCAAAAATTGATTTGTTTCTGACAAACACACAGCTTTTCACTTCACAAGATTTGATGGACTGGAGTAATGTGGATTACTTGTAGATTATTGATATGTTTTAATCAGCTCTTTGAACTCTCATACTGACGGCACCCATTCACTGCAGAGGATCCATTGGTGAGCAAGTGATGTAATGCTAAATTTCTCCAAATCTGTTACAATGCAGAAACAAACTCATCTACATCGTGGATGGCTTGAGGGTGAGTACATTTTCAGTCATTTTTAATTTTGGGGAGTACAGTTCCTTCAAGTAGCAAAGTGGATCTGAGACTCACCCAAAACAGGAAGTTGAAAACGAAGAGGAGGTACTTGAGACACACCGTGATCCAGTCGCCCTGTTCATCCTTATACAAGCTGCCCATCTCTCCTGTTGGTGAAAAGAGAGAAAAAAGAAGTGGAACAGAAAAGAAGTTCTCATGAAGTGGTGGTTGCTCACTCATTGTGAATTTACGAGGCAAAATGGGAAAAGGACAAAGAAAAGGAGGTGGGCAGGAGCGTAAACAGGCTTTTGGAAAGATGGCAGTCAAACACTGTTCTTTTCCATGACATGTTAATTAACAGCTGTGGTCCATGGGTTTCTGCCACAGACAGACGACACGCTCACGTCTCAGGGCCTAGAGTGGAGGCGGTGTGTGTCAAAACAGCAGCCATGTATGGCCGATAAAACGAGGGTGTTTGGTTTGAAATTATTGAAAACAAAACTACACACAGTCCAACACACACTGCTGGTTTGAAAAATCTTAAGGACACCGAATGCAGCACCAGATTAGAAAGGTGACTGACACGTTTTGTTCCAAAACACAAAATTAGAATGCAGACTTTGGTTTATAAAAAATCCCTGCTATAATGGATTTTATAGTCTGGATTTTCACAGTAAGACCTATCGATTTCTTTCGGATACTGAGGCATAAAGAAGTTGTTCAGAATGACTGCGGGGACATATTGATTTGCTGATCACGTGTTGTAAATGTATGGAGAAAGGTCTCACTGTGTGTCAGTGGTAATCACTTAGAGTGCTTTTTCTAAAGGGTTATCTACCTGTATTGAGCAATAAATACATATTATTTATGATGGTGATAGACACCAAATGCAGAATTTTGAATTTGAAATTAGGATTTAGTACAAAATAATGTTTTATTCATTGCATTTGCATTTATTATTCACCTCACTGTAAAGGTCTGCCTGATAAAGACAAACTATCCTCTCGTCCACTCTGTTGACAGACCGATGGCTTTGGCTGGGATTTGGAACACATGCAGGCTTTGTGTCGTTATGGGTTACCACAAGAATTCAAAGAAGTGTTTCAAGAATTTTAAGGAAGCCAGGTCTTCTTATTTACTCAACATACTGATTTACTTCAAAAATGCTGCATTATTGAACCACATACTAATTTACTTAAAAAAATGTTTTTGAAAAAAAGCAGTAAAATTAGATATAGTTTAAACATACCATAAAATATACTGTTAACATAATAATCATAATAATATTGGTGCTATTAAAGGAAACTTTTACATAGGCTATCATTAAATGTAATGTGTCATGCAGGGATTTTACAGTCTTTTTGCTATTTTGCAGCAAACTGTAAGGTGACTTTTTTAAAAAAGCTGGTTTGCTGGTCTCTGAGTGAAGTTTCAACACAAGACTACCAAACTACTTTAGATGTGTTTTTGTTTGTTTCTTTGTTTCGTTTTTCCTATCAGGGTACTATTTTCTTGAATATAATATGGGCTTTTGCTGTAAAGTATGTGGTTATATTACGCTTTACTTTTAATAAAGAATTGACATTTTTAACCGTAAAATTACATATATTGTCCCATGAAACATATTTTCTACTGTATATAGTAAAGTAACACATTTTTAATGTAGCAGTTCCTTTTGGTTGAAATTAGTAACATTTTTACTGATAGCATCATGTATTTTTAAGGTTAAAAGGAAGTTGTAAAGCGTTCTTTGGTCTATTTATACAGCGTTTCACTTTCGTTCTGAATAATATAGGTGCTATTAAAGGAAACTTTTACATAGGCTATCATTAAATGTAATGTGTCATGCAGGGATTTTAGTCTTTTTGCTATTTTGCAGCAAACTGTAAGGTGACTTTTTAAAAAAAGCTGGTTTGCTGGTCTCTGAGTGAAGTTTCAACACAAGACTACCAAACTACTTTAGATGTGTTTTTGTTTGTTTCTTTGTTTCGTTTTTCCTATCAGGGTACTATTTTCTTGAATATAATATGGGCTTTTGCTGTAAAGTATGTGGTTATATTACGCTTTACTTTTAATAAAGAATTGACATTTTTAACCGTAAAATTACATATATTGTCCCATGAAACATATTTTCTACTGTATATAGTAAAGTAACACATTTTTAATGTAGCAGTTCCTTTTGGTTGAAATTAGTAACATTTTTACTGATAGCATCATGTATTTTTAAGGTTAAAAGGAAGTTGTAAAGCGTTCTTTGGTCTATTTATACAGCGTTTCACTTTCGTTCTGTTAAGTTACCTGTGTTTAGGGGAGTTTGTTGTGGTTTCCTCGCCAACGACTGACACGTTGACTCATATATATATATATATATTTTTTTTTTTTTTAATTAATTAATTAATTTATTTTTTTGTTAAAGCCACGGATGCTTTTCATTTCTGAGCGATGTGACTAAATAGCACGATAAATTACTCCTCTGTGCTTTTAAATTGTTTCAATTCATGTTATTATCCTCCTCCTTCCTTCAACATCCCACATACAATGAACGCAATGGTGGTTGTCCCGAAAAAAAGAAGACGTGGTGATTCAATGCAGCCGATTCCCTTTCTTTCCTCCCCCGGACTTTGGCCTTATACTTTACCGCAAAACGCATCAATGTTTCTCAGTTGCGTTGATCCTGCGACACTTTCCGCGCTCATGAACGTCAACAAAATAAAACTGCGTGGTGTGATACACACTTTAGTATTTTTTTTTTCTAGAACCACCTGCTCTTATGCCGCGTTTGGGACAAGCACCAATGTCCCTTTCCATCGCACAAAGAGAAAGCATAGCGTGTATAAACTTACCTTAACAGTAGATAAATGTCTTTTCCCCAGGCAGCAAGGCTTGTTGCTCCGCAGTCGGGGGTATCGGAGGGTCAGCGCAGGATGTGAGAAGGAAATGCAACTACAGCCCGCCCCTTCATTTCACGAGATTAAATACAGCGAGCTGTTCATCTTCAGAGGCTGCTCGTGGACTAATAACTGTTATTAGTGCTTTTAAGTAAGTTGCTTTGTCCCATTCTTTGAAAAAAAAAATCAATTGTTTTCTCTCCTGGGGTTGAATTTGAACTGGACTCACGTGATCTGCAAACGTACAGTGCTGTTGAATACTGTAAATAATGACATTTTAACAGAATGCAACTGTAAAAACCTGTTAATCTTTAAACTGTGAAATATTTAGGTCTGAATTTAAAGGGATAGTTCATCTAAAAATGAAAACTCTCCTTCATGTAGTTGCAAACATTCCAAACACAAAATAAGATATTAGAATAGGTAACCAAGCAGCAGTGGTGTATAAAGTACCTGAAAGCCATACTTTTTACAGTAAAAGTACAGATATCTTACCAGAAAATGACTTTGGTAGAAGTTGAAGTCACCATTTAGAATATTACTTGAGTAAAAGTCTTAAAGTATGTTATATTTATTGTACTTAAGTACGAAAAGTATATATTTTTTATCTTAAACGTACTTAAGTATTAAAAGTAAAAGTACAAGTAAATGCAAAATGGAAAAGAAGCAAATATATATATATATATATACACACAGCTTGAGTAGCGAGATTGTGTTCAGTTTTAACTCTTTCTTCCATTTTGTATTTTTGGGATAAGCACTTCATCCGGTACTTAGTGTCTTCCTTCCAACATAAAAAATAGCATTTAGATGTATTTACACAGTTTAAGTATCTCAGAGGGGACATGGATGCATTTAGACTGCAGTTACAGATGCATAAATAGGCCTAATGTTTTGTTTTTAAGGCAAGGCAAGGCAAGGCAAGTTTATTTATATAGCACATTTCATACACAATGGTAATTCAAAGTGCTTTACATAAAATAAATGAAAAAAAATAAAATAAAATAATAATCACAACAATAAAACAAGGAATTTAAAACTTTGAAAATGATTTTAAAATGATTTAAGAGGTTTAAAATGAATTTAAAACAGTTAAGAACAGAAAATGATTATACAGTACATAAAATATAGTGCAATCAGTTAGGACAATGCACAGTGTTCATTCAATAA